TTTATAATGACCTCAAAAGATAAATTAAATAGATGAAAGTAAGTAAGACCACTTGTTTTTTGGGGCTCTTAAGTTTATCATGAAAAAATTACCCTTAATTTGCTTATAGCGTCTCAACTATATAGGTTTAGACATTACCAGTCATAACAAATCGAATAAAATAGGCATCTAGGTATCAAAACTATCAATGCTTAATATCATCACTTAAGCTACGATGATCTCTAAAATTCTAAAATTTCGAAGCTTACGTATGCCCATTATTAATTTATGACTTCTAATAATCAATATTAACGACTTCAGACTACATTCAGTTTACTTAGAATGCAATTCATCTTATTTAGTACTCATCTCAAGTATTCGGATAGAAAATTTATAAAATCATGAACTGACACACGACAGAATGTAAAGCAAAATTATCCCTACTGCTAGTTTTAACTATCTCTGTACGAAATAAAATATTAGTCCTTTCGTTGTTGACTATTTACTATCACCTTACCTTAATTAAAAATTCCACGTTCAAGATTAGCTGATGTAAAATTTAAATTTGTTTTGCCGTTACCATGATCGTCATCACCATTAGCAGGAAGGTATTTTTCCTTTCCATCAATATCATTACAGCCTATTTCCTGGAACAGTCCGATTTTTGATAAGATAAACTCCTGTATGATTTATTTGATTAATTTAAGCAGTTAAAATAGAGCTATCATCTTGTCATCTATGAATTAGCTTGATCAACAAAATAATGAACGTAATCAAGCGTATGTAATCATTGTTCTGTAATCAAGTTAAAAGTTGGATCAAAAATAATAACAAATATAATAATTAAGACTTGTCAGTCTATAAATTAAATTAAATTTTTATTATAATTAAATAATAAAAAGCGATTTATCCAATTTAATTAATTACATACGTAAGAAATGAATTAAAACTTGAAATTACCTTTCAAGTCTATTAAATTAAGAAAGACGATAACTGGACAGTTTGTTTATCATTTGATAGTCGTTGATCATTATTTGATATAGATCGCTTTAAGAATAGTAATGAAATCAAATAAAATGCGCTATAATAAGGTAAATAAGAAATAATTGCTATAATGAAATTGACGATTTCTAGTTATGATAGTAAAAATACAAAATTTTGACTTCTCTATTACTAAAGTAGTAATAAGTATTCATCAATAAAATTATGAGTCATTAAAATTATTGTTTATCACATAATATTAAAATTACAAGGAATAAAAAATTACCTTAATCCTCTTAATACAACAGATTAATTTAAGATACTACTTCTTAATGTAAGAGTTTGTAAGCGTTTAGATAAACGTTTATTTCAGAAATCCAGTTGGATTTGTTGTTAGAATAATTGCGTGCGTTAGCGACTAGTGCTAATTGCAGTAGTTTCTTTTTTAAAGTATGGTAGCATTATAAAGTGAAGTACTATAACATAAAGTATAATCAGTTATGCTTTTTAAAGTAATTATAGACTGTCTTTCGTACGATGAAACAGCGTACTTGTACTATTGGCTCTATGTGCCAACGTCGCATGCCCATACACTGCACAGGAACCTACCATTTTATTAGCCGCGTAATCTATCTAATAACATGTGCAGCTTTGCCTTTGTTCAGACCTAGCCTTATCAATCTTACATGTATATATATATATATATATATATTAATATACAGTAAATAATACGTATGAAAATCTTCTACATCTTGAAAATAAATTATCATTAATTTAAAGATATTTCTAGATGTATTGATAATAATGATAATAACAAGATAGGACCAAACTATTAAAAAACTAGCCAATAGCCGTTCATCAATATGATTTTCTTGCATTAAACTACAAAGATGGCAATCAAGCAATGCTGACGTCAACTAATTATTATCTAATTGGAATATATTTCTCGATAACAATACTCTTTAGAAAAGATTAATACTATCCCGTATTATTGACAGCCATCAAATGAATAGAAAATTAAAAATTATATCGACATATGATTATATTTACTGGATGCAGATGATGATAATGTGATGTGAATGTCATTACCTACTGTAAAAATGGAATTTATCCGCAAATATTAAATATATTTGTCCTTAATTGATTACAATACCAAATATCATACCACTACCCTTTAAAATGTTGCCTTTTGTTAAGAATCAGCCACGGTTGAAGAAAATTGAGAATAATCTATCAAATAAAATCATCTTGTCGTCATGATATGTAATTTAATTCATTGAAATTAAAGTAATAAATGATACACATATTTATTCATTGTGTATATATTACCCTTTATTAGGAATATTGAAGAAATAAAGTATCGGTATTGGATTCAACAAAATTAATAAAGTAAGAGCTATACAGTGCTACTATCGGCAACGGTATTGAAGGCTTTACAATTCAAGAGTCATGGATTAAAATTATCTAAAGTAGTTGTCCTCCAATCTAAGCTAGTAACAACAAAATAAGGATGTCATTGGAATATAATACGGTATTGAAATAGATACACATTTCCAGTGTAAATTGAATGATGTATCTGCATTCGTGCTAATTAGACCTTTTACTAACGTAAAATACCAATGTGTAGCTGATATTCAGCTTCTTACGACTGCATTATTTCGTATAATTATTAGATAACTAAAATTATACCAGAAAGTTCTTTATATCCTTAATAGTAATCATCATAAGATTTGCTGTATAACATTATAAACATATCAATGATATTGTATTCGGTATAATAAATTTTACTTCAAATCCTTATTCTTTTATACAATATATAAGGAGGAAGGTTAAAATTAATACAAAAATTCATTACGTTACATCTATGTCAAGTTGTTTCAATCCAAATCCAAAGTTCTAATTAGTAGTTGTGGACGGTATTCGGATTTTATACTATTCTTAAAGCTTGAATTACCATCAATCTTACTGAGAACTTCCACAATATGTCAGTTACAGTAGCGAATAATAATAAATAACGATCTACTATCTGTTTTGCTGTCAAGTATAAATCACCTAGATACCAGACGCCGTAATAGAGTAAGCAATGGGAAGCTTCGTGTAAGCTAAATATCGACTACTTCCTTCATCCCTAAGTAATGACAAAACATAAAGTTACGATTGCACAGTTCTATAAGTTATTACATAGAATGTGGATATTTTTGTACGGGAAGTTTATCAACTGCGCATTGAATTTGAAGTACGAAATACTATCTACCAATTCGTAAAGTACAACTTACTACAGTATATACTTACTTCTAGTGTAAGCGGTATAAATTCTGCAATAAGTATGTTTCAGATCATTCATACTGCATCAAAATCACCTATACATTTCAATTACAGAAAAAGTAAACCGAAATTAATCTATTAATCTAAGCCAATAACAGCAATTGATAGATCTGTTCTCCGGTTCATAGATATTTGCACCATTATTCACCAGACACATTACAGTTATTGTAAATATCAGCGAGAAACTTTAACATACTGAAATGACCTAATTATATGCTTTCTTTATCGTATTTTTTATTTAATAATAGTTTTCGGTAACGTCAGAAAACTCAAGAGCTATTTTAAGGGACATGGATAAAAAAATTCTATTCTATGTGTAGTCAATCTTCATGATCGATTGCAATTGCGCAGGTCTAAAGTATCTACCACCAGCTGCTATAATTATTTCAACAACGTCATCGCTGGAGATAGCTGAATTAGTAGCTAGCGATTTTACCTGTCTTGATTACTTATAAAAAGGATTTGACCGCAATCACAAGACTCTTCGCTGGTCGCTGGGTTTTCACCGCTCGTATGAACGTACCATAATGTACTGAAAAAAAATTCCTCAAGTATCATCTGTTTTGGTCTGAAATTTTACTAATACAGCTCATAAGAACAGTAATATGCTATACTCGTATATCTTGTATGCAGTATCACTGCTTGAGTTCGATCACCATTTTGCAATTATGCCTTTTACATTACAGTGCATCACACTGCAGCTAGCAGGTGGCATTTTTAATCAGTTATATTATGATACTGGGATCTAACGGAATATCTATGTCTAATAATATTTCTGTATCTTTAGAATGAACGTTTCATCATCATAAAATGCTCGTTTACTGCATTAACTGACAGGCATATGGCGAGCACGGTAGGTTTGGAACTGTATACGATTACTAAATCGGTCATAATAAATATGTTAAGTGATTTACGTTATTTCATAACAGGCACAATAGCTCATCTCATCTTAGTAACTAAGAAACTGTAAAGGATGAGAGACAGAAATTAGTTCAGACTTCAATAACTATTCATGAATTGCAAAAGCACTGCAAATATGGTGACGTAAATACCTTGACTAATGGGCTTCTGTCATTGTATATCACTTATCGTGGCAGACCATCATTTTGCATTCAAAAACTAAAGTTCTTTATCGGACATCTTTACATATTAAATAGACTTTTGCAAGCTTATCATTAGTAAAGTTAAACTTTATATCCATTATAATTTATCAGATTGTGATAAAAGCCCAAGTTGAACTGATAATATACAAAATTTAAACCAACCGCTTTGCAACTTTATTTATTAATGTTAAACAGACTTATCATAATCGAACTTTATATATGCTGTGGCTTCAAAGCCGTAGGAAACAGACCAACCAGATCAATATTCCTAGAGGTTATATATCTTAACTCTGTATGTAAATATGAAAAGTATACAAGTTCTTAAAAATTTAATGTCTTATTGAACTACTACAGTTACGATATTTCTTAGTCACGCAGCATATTAACCTATAATACCCAATGTAGCTGTATTAATAATAACAAGTACTACCCTTTTGACACATATCATGACAACTGTCCACTTCCATTTATGAAATTAAATTTAGCACGATATCGAAACTGATGCTGTTAGGCAACTACTGCTATATAATTCTAATTAATCAATATAAAGATGGCGACATAACAAATTTGTAATGATAAATACGAGCAATTCCATAATTTTTCGATACTTATTTAATTTTTCAATGTAATTAGATTTCGCATCAGATCGAAACTGTTACCATCCGGTTGTAACGTTACTTTCTGTCCATAACGATCAGTAACACAGAGAAATCCGTAATCATTAATACCGGCTATTGAAAAATCTTCGTTACCACGATTAGCGATTTTAACCTTCTTATTACTAGAAGAGCAAAATGTCATTAATCATCTTTCTTAATTACCTTAAAAAAGAAAATATACTAAGAAAAAATTTTTAACAACCTATGAATCCAGTACTTATAATACTCTCGCTGAAATTGTCCAATTCCAAATTTTTCAATGTTGGAAATGATGGTTTCGAGATTATTATATAGTAATCCCGCAAGCCGACCAACACTTATTGGTTTCAAATTAGCACCTTCCGTTCGATTATTAAACCTTGCAATAATATCGTTAATGCACATAGTTGGATTGCTATTACTAACGTTCAATCCACAGCCTAAAAGCATATAAAGATCATATTATAATTTGTTACAACATTAACTACTATTAGTGTTATCGTTACTTAAAATTCATAAAACTCTTATTCCAGTTATGGTCGATATTATTTACTAACCAACGACAATTTGTGGATCATTATTTCCGATAGTCTGCGATTTCAAAATTATACCGCCTAGTTTTATTTCATCGCGGTAATAAATATCATTCGGCCACTTGATTCCTAAGGGAATGTTCTATGGAAGAAAAAGTACAAGCATTTCTTTCATTAATTACTATTTATTACTAATGGTTCAATCATTCCTATGATATTGTAACCTCATATCCTTCCAAGGATCGAACCGCCTTTACAACGGCTAAGCCGGTAATATTAACAAGTAATGGCAATCGCGATCCAATAATGCTGCGCCGTGAAATAGTTAACGGAATAGAAGTCATTAAACACCCTCTCGGAGAAATCCAATTGTTACCGGATCTACCTGTGTTCAATGTAGTAAATACCTGCTTAGAATCAAATATTAAGTTGCCATAATAGTCGCTAATATAAAGAGAAATTACTGATTGTTCCGTCAATTATCTTAACAGCTAACTATACTGGCACTGTTGACAACCGCATACCTCGTCCTTGTGTCTGCTGATTAGCTATAATTACCAAACCCGAGTCCTGGTTTACATTCATCAGGAACTGATTTCTGAAACAAAATACGTACTACACATTACATAATTTTAAAACTGATTACGTCAATGGTAAACGTAATGAATCATAAATTACAATGGTATGTATAATTTTCCTACATTTCAAGAACAGTCATAGTTGAGGTAATAACTTCACTGAACATAACAGTTCGACCAAGAGTTTTCGTCTTTAACGAACTCCAATAGTCATTCCACTGAAATGACTGACAGGCATTTTTGGGAGGAAATATCGAATTGATCATAAAAACTGTCATAGAATTTTCCGACTGTTCTTGGAATTTATCTGAAGCGTCGATAAACTCTAAAGTAAGATTTTTACCGCTTATTTTACCATCTCGCAATACTCTGCTTAATTTTTGCTGTAAGACTTGCAAATTCTGTCATATAAATAAATACAATGAAAAATTGAAATAGCTGAACATGTCAAATTCGTTATCATCCGTAACCGATATACAATAAATTAGTTATCATTATTACGTATGGCTCTCCTAGCAGATAAGCAGGCGTCAAAGCTGGCAAAGCTGTGAATCCAGGTTTTACCCCAAGAATCGATAGGCATTCGGTGAAGACGGAAAAGCGATAACTATTGGATTTTTTCAATTTAGCAAATAGTTTCTCGTCATCGACAGCGATATTATCCGGACTCCTCTCTAAGCGAATTTGGCTTAATATAGCCCTGCCTTTTCCATAGGAAATATCCAATATGACAGGTTGAGCCTGTGGTAAATCTTCTATTGAAGATGTAGCTAGCACTCGAATATTCTCTTCAGCATTATCAAGTGGCAGTACGTAAGATTTACAAAAAATAGCTGTGTCAAATTGTGCTTCAACTTTGCCATCCGAGGATTTAAATAGCGTTTGTCCAAAAAGAAATTTTTTATCACAAGGCAATTCAGAAATAGTTATGCCTAAATTAAAAATAGGATAACACATAGGACATTAGAATAAGGTTTTGCACTTATATGCCATAGTTGAGAATAATATTATAATTAATTGATATTTTTTAAGAATCTATATACAATATACCGGCTAAATTAAATCCGCTATACAAACTAATGATTTTCCCACCATCCTTGACAAAATTTGTAAAAGCATCCATAATATCGCTTGAAATAATGTCCTCATGAGCTATTACTAGTAGAGCCACGTTTTCTTGCCATGGGGCTTTCAAAATTTGATCGATATTTAAATGGTAGACAACATAAGAATCTGCAGAAATATTTTGAAATACAAAATTTTTGACTTCCTCCTTTCTGTCATTATCGGCATAAATTACAATATTTGGAGGTTTAGTGACCAAGTCGGATCCGCTATCATGTTCATCGGATATCTGTAATTTCTCCAAGGATTCGATTCCTCTTTGACTAGCTATATCGTATTGATCGTAGTTAAAAAATATTGTGCGTCAACATTTTGTCAAGCAGATAGCAAATCAAAATAATATCTATACTACATCCTAATTTTTTTGACTGGCTAGAGCGGTGGAAAACATAACATATGACTCTATCTAGTGTACTGTAATAATAGCAAGAACCGAATCTCATCAGTCTTATCACTTATAACTTATAAATTCATTGTAATCACGTAACGATTGGTAAACGTCATAGCATTGAATTTAATATCCATTAGATTTACCATTAAAATCTAACTTCAATTTCATATTAAGGGCTTACCCATATATCGTATGATTCTTGATCTTTCTATTTTCTTTAATGTAAATTTTGACCTTTTCCCGATAACAGTCACAAGACTACGCTGTGGCTGTCGTAAGGTTCTCAGGCAATATCTGTCAGACTTGTCTTTAATGAAGCTCTCTTGTTCGCTATTTACGCTTGTATAGCTTGCTAAATTAGGTAAAATTTCACTGCGTTAACAACTATTTTTAAAACATTTACTCACGCGCCAAATTTTTGATGGAATTTACTAACAAAACAGTACTAATAAAAAAACTATCGTATCAATAATGCAAACGGTATCTGAGTTAACCAATGAGTAAGTGTATACCTAAAAATATCTCACCTTTATAGCGTGTATTATGCAATACTCCAGCAGCAAAATATGCACAGCACCTTCAAAATAAACACATGATACACACCGTAAGTAATGGAGTACGTGACAATATACGGCATGATGGATAAAATTGTACTGTTTACGGATGGTATACGAGTACATGCAATCGACAGTATTTCAATGGCTTGGGTATAAGAGTTTTATGACTTTGCAGCCATCTTTAAGCACCTGTGCAATGCATTCAACAATACTAGCTTAGCTACGCCATTGGAGTAGTTTTTTGAGAGGCGATTTTTTCTTGATAGCAGGTCGATTCGCGCCGAGGTCTAGTCTCTAGCTACTCTATGGTATTTCATAAGTCCGCTACTAACAGCACTATTTACTGAAATAATTCTCTCATAGTACGTTCAAGCAAATGAAGAGTTACTACTATGGTGGATTCTAGCTATTTCGCTCGATCATTTCATCTAGCTGCAGATTGCTTGATACGAATATAACGATGGTCTTTGTTGGAAATGTGTGATTTATGTACGCACTGTAGTGGTAATCTTTAGCAGTTAGCATAGTATGAATATTAGAAGGTTGTAACAACATCTTGGATCATCTGTTCCATTCGATCAATAACGAAATGACAACCATCTATTAATGTACTGTACGTCGTTTTCAAGCCTTAGCGGCGCATTATGTCTTGCTAACGATGCAATACTGTCAGCAAAGGATGTTCAAGAGTTTGGCATCTGCTGCTCTCTTCTATTCTTGACTAAGTGACTGTACCGTAGTAAACAAAAGTCAAAGCAATTGATTCATTTGGCATCATTGCATCAATTTGCATGTAAGCATTTTAGTCAAATGGTTAAAACTGTAGTGCGGCTAGTGCTCATCAGGGCATACCTACTGATGACAAACAATTATGAAATGGAACTACTGCAGTAGGTCAGAGGGAGCTAACATTGCCCATGCACATACACAATTGCTCATGACGTCTGCTGGCTAACTACTCTATTTTAATAACAGGAATGCGATGTACAGTCAATTGCACGATCAATTTGGTCACGGTACCTGATTGCTGAAGAATTGACTCGGATAAGTTGAGCACAGCTAGCCAGGATTGCAATCGCAAAGTGTTAGGCACCCTACAACGATTTGATTGTATCCGCTACTGCACTGCATGGCTAGCATGGGAGACCTGTTTTCATTGGATGGTAGAGCATCTCGAAGGCTTCCATTCTACAGTCGAAGCACTATACTAGTGTGGTGGACTACGTACAGTACAGTCTGGTACCGGTAATGAATACGATATGACAGCATCAAAAGATTGCACAAGTTTTACCAAGGTCATACACTACTAGAATCTGACCATAATCACAACTACATGAATAAATCGTGAATGAATTGATGAATCTAGATACGATTGGCTAAAGAGATGGATAAGTTTAGCCTAGGTCATGGATTACTCGAAAACGACCATTATTAGCCATGGTTGTGATGGTACTGTACTTTACAGTACAAATTGCACACATACTGTACTGTAGACTGCCGCTACTGTAGCAGTAGAGTCCAAATCCGGAACGGAACAGTTCGGTTGCGTAGAATGTTGATTCCGCGCCAAGGTGTTCTACTGTATTGTACAGTACTGTATTTCCGCTCCTCAATCTTGTACAGTACTATATACTGTAATATACAGTATGTACTGTGTCAGTGTACTGTAACTTGCCAGATCAACGATTGATGGTGAGTGAGTCCGCTCTACTGTACTGTACAGTACAGTGTGCAGTATAGTACTCAAAGAAGACCGATTTTAGTAGTCCGTGACTGTACTGTACTCGCACCAATGGGGTACAAACCATCCATAAAATTTCACACAGCACAGTAGCCAAAATGCAAGGCGCTACAATTTGCTCCATCAAACGCAATTGTCCCTATAAAAGAATTACCGTTGCTACTGCTATCGATCTACTGTACAAAAATAAACGCTATTGCCTGAAAACGCGTTATACTGTACAGTACTGTACTACTTCAAACGATTATCCATTAGACGATGATGTCTAGTCCACGCTAACGACCCTGAATTCAAAGAGTGCATACCCCGTATAAGTAATCATGGTCACTCGTGGACTGCGACTTCCATCATCAAGTACAAAATCGCCCCACGCTAGATGCGATAATAATAATAATGATGATAATTGTAATTGTTTATTTATTATTATGTAATCACTAATCTAGAACAATAGCAGCGCCTTCAACGCTTTCATGATTTCATATGATAATGAATCAGGACTTCGATAATGACGATACAACAAGCCAATAATGTACACAAAAGTGCAGTACTTTTCAAGAATTGGAATCGCGACGTCGACTTATAAACAGCATCATTTAGAGTACAGTTGTCTTATTAATAAGACAAAGATATATTTTTTAAATTGTCCCCTAATAAACACATTCTTTGGTGAGCAACAGTATTGAAAGTGAGAACTGCTTGCAATCAATTTACTCACACGATATGCTCTCCATATTCCTTCCTTCTTCATTGACAAGTACGACATTCTAACTACGAAAGTACCGTCTATTACTGCATTGAAGCTAGTACAAGTTCTACAGACATTGTGAAATACAACACGAATGAAATGCTAATTAACCATGCATTAAGTCATCATTTTTTCATTACTCCAGACATTTCAATTTACTGTAGATATTAAGGTATCATGTTAGCTAATGAAAATAGGAAGTTAATATTGTAAATACGTCATGGGCTCCCAAGTAGCACGAAATTGCAACACCTTTAGCAAACCTCCAATGGACAAGCTAAATTAATCGCCAATCATACGTAGGCGAACTTAGGCATTGAAAAAGTATATTCTACTCTAAAATTGAATATGGTAGAACAAGCAATTACTGTTTCAACGTATTATTTATTTTTTTATCCTTCCTAAGCGAGTGAGCTTGCCCTATTATCATTGGTTACATTGGCTTGCT